ATGTAATTGCATATTCATGCTATTCTTTTGTCTTTTTGTGATGCTTGGTTAATCAAGCGCAGCAGTTAATTGTTTTTGCTTTTTTATATAAACAGCAGGTCCTTGTGGAGTTTGAACTGGATTTCACTTTGCATATTGAAAGGTGAATCTCATTCTTTTTGGACATGGGACGAAAATAGACCTGGATTTTACGATAACCCTAATAAAGTGTTTGGCTAAGCTTATTACAGAAGAAAAATGTTAGATTTTGTTGTGTTGTCCAAAATCGAATTTAAAAGTACAGAATATATCCAAGAAGAAAAGATTTTTTTAGAATTTAGAACAGCACTGCACTTTACTGAAACTACAGCAAGAGGGCCAATAATAACTTGAAGAAAGAACCAAGATAAACTTTAACGTTCATAATTGAAATTTTTTGATTCTATGAAAAACTGGAATGATTGTACATGTTGACTCTAGAATAGTGAGTGGTAATATTTTGGGGTTTGTGAATTCATCAGCTGACAACAAATTATTAAAGAAGACAAAGTCAAATGAAGCTTGTTTTCGAGGCTTTATTAGTATATAAATTTTCTATAAAGAGAGCAGAACCTCCCCACTGCCTTTCACTGGAGCAGCACGATCTATGAAAAAGTCTTGTCAAATGTAGGCACATATTCTTTACTTCAGATGGCTTGAAATTCTCGGTCTGGTGGGTAACTTTGAACTCGAAACCTTTTCCAAAGGTTGGGAACATTGAATTGAAATCTTATCCCAAGGGTTAGGAAGTTTGACTCCAAATTTCTATTTCTAATCAAAGTACCCACCCAATCCCGTGGCATAACGTTGATAGCTTAATAAGCTTACATGATAGTGGAAAATTCGAGAGCCGAGCGGGCCACCTTCTTGATGTGGTCTGATTTGCATATTGAAATAGTAAGTTTAATACACATTACTGTGCTGAAATGTAAACTGCTAAGGACACTGGGTTTGGTTTGCTTTGTTTGTCTTTCTTTTATCTTTCACAGAAATTAACACGGTAAACCTGATGGCATTAAGACCATGCTTCCGTATTTGTGTGAATGCGAGTGCAATTAGGGATTTGCACTACGAGTGATATTTGAAAATTCTCTCAAAATTCCACGAGCCTTTAGGCGAGTGCAATTTGAAAGAATTTTTGAAATATCACGAGTAGTGTAAATCCTTAATTGGTCGAGCTTTCATACGATTACTCATTGATTATATGATTGAAAAAATTGCGAACGCGCGAGCGTTAGTTTGCACTGCTGTACAAAATTAACAATAAATTGGCCTGCTCTCAGCCAATCACAACGAAGTAATTTTCTCAGTCATAAACATGTAATAACCTAGACTGATTAAACGAGGAAGTTTCTTTCCATAATTTACTCCAATTTTGTAGGCCCTTGTCGAGAATGGCCATTACATGTAATCGAGATTGGCTTGAGGGGGTCCAAATACTCTGTGTATCTCTCTTTTAATATGCAACTTACAGCAAACTGATTGTGCCCTGTTTACCTTCAACTGCACTTGGAATCAACGTTCAATACTCTTTCCTTTTAATTATATATGAACAAATTCTGAATATGTATTCTTTCATTCACTAAAGTTACAAATATAATAATCTTCCTCCTGTCAATTTTACAGTAATAAACAATAAGATGTGAGCATACTCTATTACCTTGAGACGCCTACTATAGGCAAACACAGATACAAAAAAATAACTTTGCAAGATAAAAATGGTCGATTCCCTGTTCCAACAGGGAAATAAAATGTATGAGAAATAACTGAAAAATAAAAAAAGGCAAGGAAAGTAATAATAAAAATATACAAGATTTCTGAACTAAGTTTGACTGAACTAATTTTGAGGATCTTTAGTTGACTATAAAGGAAATTTAATTTTGTGAGCTGCATGTACAGTTTTAAGAGTACGGTCAACAAAGGAAATTATCCTGCTGTTTCCACAACGGGTCAGTTTAAAAACTTGATATTTTGCTGACTGTATTAAACCTCAAAATGAATACAAGACATTATTTCCTCGATTCTCCTTGGACACCAAATACAGCAATGTATACGCCATGTCAAATACATGTATGTCAGTCATAGGCCATATTGAATTGATCAGTTGCTAATCAAATTACGTAATATGGTGTCTGACTAAAGAGGCTTGATATCGTATCAAGCAATGTAAAATAAAATATTATTTCCAGTGGAAATAATATTTTATTTTACGTTGTCTTATTTACACCTATTGTGTCCGACGATTTTAATCTTTCACAGACTCTTTCCGGTCTAGGCAAATACATGGTCTTAAAAGGTATCACTTCACTGCAAGCCAACTCTTAAGATAATATTCTTGCAAGAGATGATGGGCAAAATGTGTTCAATTGCCACAATCAGATTTTTCAGAATACTAGCATACGGTTTAGAGCCTAAACCGTGATATATTCTGGATTCCCCGCCAAGGTCGAAATAAGTTTTGTTCGCGTGGTCTCCAATTTCCCAAATTTCCTGTCTAACGCTCAGAAGGAAATTTCCAGATTATTTTCAACGCTTACAATTACTTTTGAGTTAAACCTATTTAAAACTACAACTTGGAGTTAATTCCATAACTTCCGCCTAGTCTTGGAATAGCACCCTTGTTTTGACTGGTTTGACATCTTTCAACTAAAAGCTTCTAAATACAACCAAAAGGATTCTAAGAAGAAAAAAAAAGGG